GCGTGCTAACCCCAGAGGGGGAGGAGCACCCATTGGATCGATGAATTTCCGAGAGCATTTTCTGAGCGGGAGTATGTGTATATGCCGTGTTATGGTTACATACGCGCAGGTATTCGCAAGTGGAGAAAAAGAGCTCTCGCAAAAGAGAGGATCGCTCGTTTATTTTTCGAGTGCTGAACGCAGGGGACCGTGAGAAAGCGGGTCGATCGTCGTCTGCGAATTTTTGTCCCTCTCTCTCTCTCTCTCTCATCGTCGCGCACTCGGAGGACCCGTCGACGACGGCGGCGGCAGAGAGGACTCGCAGCCAGAGGGGGTGGGGATATAGGTACGCGCGGCTATTAATTCAGAGAGCTCCGAGGACACCGGCCGGGAGGGAGCAAAGGAGCAAAATGACCGACGGGTCAGGCCCTAAATAAAAGGAGGGGACGTTTAAATAAAAGTAAACCCGTGTTGCCGGGGAGAGGGAGGCCTCTGTGTGTGACTCCTGGCCTTCCTCTCTCTCTCTCTCCCTTCGCTTCTTTATCCGCGCGGGCCTCTTTCTCGGCGAACGGCTGGAACTCGCTCTTCCGATCAAGATCGCGGGGGACCCACCCCCCCTTGCATTCGTATGATCGCATGTATTCGATTTCACGCGCTCTGCCGATAATTGAAATTTATATATGAGCGTCCGGGTTAAGGGGGACTTGATTTACCCGGGGGCTGCTTTTCGGGCGGACCCGAAGATCGAGCCAAGCGATCGGGGGATGGCTTAATAATGTGAGCTCGGCCGGGGAATTCGCGCGCGGGGGGGGGGGATATGGCTTTATTGTTCGGCTGCCATTTTTATTCGCGACTTCATACCCGCGTAACTTATCCGTGGGTTAATTGATCGAAGCGATGCGCTACACCGATCGCCGAGGACCCAGATATCGACAGGTTTTTTTTTCTTCGGAATCGTGATGGTCATTTTTAATCATCTTGTAAACTCTATACACATGCATACGAGGACCGAGCTGCAATACTTTAAAGGAGAAATGTAACGACCCGGCGCGCATAAAAGTCCGCCCTTTTCTCCGGGGGGGGGGGGGGGTTATTAACAGGTCCTCCCAAAGCCTCTCTCTGCCCGTCCCGAAGTTTTATAGCGCGGGGACCGCGAAAAGAAACGCCGCAATTAAAACCTATTAGCCCGGCCGAATGGCCGATAAATTCGCCTTATGCGTCCCTCGTCCGCTTTATTAATCGCAGCTCAAAAATCTATTTATCTCGCCCGTCCGATTGTCGCATCGGTTAATTAATTGAATTTATCGGTGAGGGCCTTTTTTTCCTCTGTTATGGGCCGCCAATCGTTTGACAACGTAATCGTCCCTGACAGCAGAATGGGGAATAAATGCCAGGGGCCAGCATAGGTTGTTGTTGTTGTTGCATGAGAGCCGTTCGAGGGTACTATACCACTGCGCGGTTCGCTATGTGGTGCAGGGAAGAGGCGAATCGGTATAGGGACGGGAAGGAGTGAGAAAAATAATACACACGCGTATGCAGAGCATATGATTTTGGGGAAACTGACAAATAAAAGTTGGAAGGTGAGGGGGCTGGAAGACCCGTACTTTGCAGGGGGTAGGCAATGGGCAAGACTTGGTAGAGGTATAGGGTGAAATGGAGTTGCTGTTGGAAAGTTAAGGAAATCTTAACTCTTTATACGAAATAGGAAGAAGAAGGTGGTAGTTTTTTTTTGTCAAAACCAACACATACATTGGTATACTTTTGTTTTTTCCAAGCAACAATATTGAGACTGGGAGGATCCCGCGTTCATGAAAAAAAGACTTGATTGTCTATTTGCCACAAAATGGTACAGCAACATGGTTATACGTAAATTCCAGAACCACCTGACTTTCGTGCCAGACAAAACGCACAACTGAAAACCTCATCCACATGGAACTTTCAAACCCGAAAGTTTACAAAAACGAGCGAGTAACATTCCCATCGTCGAAGATATTGTTATGACGCAAAGTGAGATAAGGTAGCGAACCACAAAGCCACGCGTCGTAGCACCGGTATCCGCGAGAAACTTGCTCAAAAGCGACTCGCGACTGTATATACCTCCCTAAAACTATTTCCGCGTGCTTGTATAAAAAATCCTACACGGTCCACCAAGACACAATGGTCCCCAAAAGCAAGTGAAACATCCCGCAAAGTCGGCCGAGCCAGAAATGAAAAACCAAGGAAAAAAAGGATACAGGTGGGCAAAGAGTCCTTCTCTCTTTTTTTTCGCTCAGGTGTGCGCGCGTGCATGTATACACTTAAAATGCTCTCTCGTGCTGATTATCGTACGCGCCCGCTCCAGAATCCCGAGCCGAGCGACTTTCCTCTCTCGCTCGCGAAGGAAGGGGGCCCGATAGAGTCGATAATTTAAGAGGATTTACGGCGCAATCTACGTCAATTACCAAACCCGCCCCGGACTTTTGTTTTTCTCCCCCCCCCCTGTTTTTTTTTTTTTTTTTTTTTTTTTTTCGTTTGTACCTGTACGCAGCACCTCATTGTGCGCTGCCGCCTCGCAGGGCCCCGAGAGAGTGGTAATGAGCGCGGTCCTCTTCGCGGCAGCAGCTCCCGAAACAAGGTGCACGGAAAAGTATGCCCCTTTGCGGGTACGGTGTTTGTGCTGGGCGTGTGTGTATGTGCACCGATGACGGATGTGTCGCTTTGTCGGTTCCTTTTTTTTTTTTTTTTTTTTTTTTTTTTTTTTTTTTTTTTTTTTTTTTTTTTCTTCATTTTTTGCTTGTCGCAGCGGACGGAGACAATGAACGATTTAGTCGTACTCGGAATGCGGGGATTGGCGTCTAATGTGGGAACTGGCTCGAAGCTTGGCAGGGGCATTCGGCTGCTTAGGAGGCCCAGAAAAACTGGTGGGCCAGCGCGGCGCGTTAAATCATTTGTAGTTGTCGTTTTTTTTTTTTTTTTTTTTTTTTGGATGGATACGAGTGCTGGGTCGTTTTGATAGCGGGTCGCTTTGAGTTTGGGGTTGCGCGGGAAGAGCGATTTGGATAAGTGGACCATGAGTTGAGCATGCGATGATATTTATTTCAATGCATTCGTAGACAATCGTCACATTTACCACGGGAATTTACGGCTGCTCGGAAAGTTTTCTCGATAAAATTTTGGAAGTTGATGTCTGGGATCCTCAATATTACATAGTAGAAAGTATAACATTAAAATGTATAGTCTTCAAACTCGAGATGTATCGCTCGATTCGATTAAATTTTAATGGGTATTTATGTCATTTTTTATGCTTATTCCATGAAAAGTTTCAACTTTTTTAAATGGCTTCGGGATAAAATCTATTATTCATCAGAATTATAAAAAATTCCGATATTTTTTGGTAAACCACTATTTTTAATGGAAACAATTCACTTTTAACGTTCAATTGAGCTGTAACTAAGCACTCCTCCTGCCCATTGTATACGATACCAAAAACTGCATTCCAAGTATATTAATAAAAACTCTTTATTCAAATGTGTTGTATTAAATTATTTTTGAATATTACTGATTGAATCGATAGATAAGTTATAAAACGACGTAAAAAAATTCTTTACCCATAATGGATATGTGCCCAGAATAAAAAACCCCAATCTTAGGGTGAAATAGTATCAATGAATAATAATCTAATTAAATTTACTGCGATTCACCAATACAATGGAAAAAATGTTTTTGTCAATAGAGTTCCCCAATAATCCAGTAATCGACAGCCGAACAAATAGCCTAATAAACAAAAAAACTATTCAAAGTCAGGTATAGTATAACATTTTCATAATAAACAATGCCCCATAATCAGCACAAATAAATGTAACCATTGATACTCTCGTTGAAAAGTTAAGTAATCTCCGTAATCCCCATGCACGGATAATTCGCATAAATTATGCAAGCGCACGAGCGGCGCGTCAGGGAAAAAAAAAAAAAAAAAAAAAGGAGACAAAAAGGCGTATAGGTATCGATGACACTTGCAGTTGATCAAAACGGCATCAGCCCAGCGGCACGCCGAGCGTATTTGCATTATTCGCTCGGAACAAAACGGCGCGTGGTGCCGGTGGAGAGTGGAAGGAAAAAAAAAAAAAAAAAGGGGGAGATCATTATAGAGTGTCATAATCCTGCTTTGCTGGTCTATAGACACAGATACAATGTATACACCTGCTCGTCGAGCGTGCCTCCGAGGATTATGATTTATCGCCTTCGCGTGCCGAACGCCCGATCCGATTATAGGCTCTTTGGATCTCTCTTTTGTGTGCGCTTAGGATTACAGGCTGTGCATATACATATATATACATGTCCAGGAGATGGTTCCGCTTTGGGTTGAAAGTGGGCGCGCGTGTGCGTGTGTTCTCCGAGCAAATAAGATTACGCTCGACGGGCCGGCGCTTGACTCCTTGCTGCGCTGTTTGTTTCTATTAACTCGGATATGGGTATAGCCATCAAGTATACTTGCGTTCTCATTATTTTGACAGTATTTTCCCTTGTCAACCCTTCAGTTATTACCAAATAGTCATTCAATATACTAGAGACCCCGTAATTGCAGTGTAACTTTTATTAACATTGATCAGGTCATAAAATTAATGGCAGCGCATACATCCATGGATTTATAAAAAATTGATGTGGCGATTTATCTAACGCCCAAAACATGGCCACAGTTGGCTCTTTTGAGAGGAAGATTGCTTTGATTTTGAGTACATTTCAATGTCCGCATATCACGTAATTCATGCGAAACATTATATAGATAACGCTTAGTTACTGAAAAGAACTATTTGAACGCACTTACCCATAGATTAGCTGAAAGGAAGACCCAAGACGTCTCGAAACCAAGTGGTCTTTACCGATTTTCCCTCACTTTACCCAAAAATCTTTCGAAAACCCCTTTGGTCTTACGTTATGAACATCACAAAGATCCACGACGAATAACAAAATAGATCGGTAGAGCAAAATGTTCGGTGCCAATGAGCCCCAACAAACAAGATAATGGAAATAAGTAGACTTACCCTGTCATACTGGTGGGTGTGGGTCGGCGTGGCCGTCGAGAAGGGCTGAAAGGGCGCGGGCCTGGCCGGACTGTGGTGCGCCGTGTGGGGATGATTGCCGGCGTGGGCGACGCTCGGGTGCGGGGCCGCGTGCGGATGGGGCGGCGGTGGCCTCTGATAGATGTACGGGTAATATTGATACATAACCTCGGAGCAGCTCATCACCGCGCGCGGTCCACCACCACCACAAGCAGCGTTGACCGGACTGCAGCTGTCACTACAGACACCACCACCTGAACCACAACCACCACCACCACCACAACCACCACTACCACTGGCACAAGCAGTAGCACCCACAACTAACGCGGAGCCGGTGCCACTCCGGCTCCTACACCCCCCCTGGTCTTTACCCTCTTCACCCTCTTCTTGACTGTCACCGCGGACAATCAATTCCTCCTGCTGCTGCTGCTGCTGCTGCTGCTGTTGTTCCTGAAGATGATGGTAGTGGTGATGCGGATACTGCGGGTAGCGGTGGTTGTGATAGGTGCTCGGGTAGCCGCCGTACAGAGTGGCCGTGGTGATTGGGTCAGGTGGGGAGGAGGGATGCTGATGGTGGTAACTGAGGCCGGCTGGCGCCGTCGCCGGGTAGTCCGACGCCAAGGCAACCCGATCGTCCCAACCGATTTCGGCGATTCCGCTATTATACGGACTACCGCATCCAACGTCCCCGGGATGTCATACCGATTTCTCAGGACGTCCGTCTCGAAACTCACTCACGAGGCTTTTTAAACCCAGAGTCCCAAAGATCGAAGCTGCACGAGTCACTATACCGTTGACGATCTTGGGTTGGGCCCAATACCAAGGACAGCAAAACGATCAATGGACAAAAAGCCAAAAAAAAAATTTAAAAAAAAAATCGTGGGGGGTACTTAGCACCCTGTGTATCTCAGTCCTTTGCTAATATAACAAACGGCACGCGCTTCGGGCGAGCCGGTGTCAGAGCGGCGGTGCGTGCCTCTGGTGGACAAACACAGACTGAGGCCCCGCGGTGCAGGAGTCAGGGCTCGGGGGATAGCGAGCGCGTGCATCCCGCGTCTCTTTCTAGCCTCGGCGATCCACTCGCGCGTGGATGTCTGTACACACCACCACATCTCTCTATCTCTCGGGAGACACGAGAGAAAGGGGGATCGCAGCGAAAGGCCGAGAGTAGATACGCCGGGCGGGGGCAAAGGGGGACACCTCGCCGACTCCGCCTCCCTGCAGTGGCGCTGGCCAATCGTTGGCCGGCCGGGCGACGTCCAATGAAACCTCGGTGCCACTCCTACGCGGTACCCGGTATTGATCCCACAATGAACTCTGCTCGCGAGCTCCCCCTCCTCCTCCTCCTCCTATTCGCACCCTCATATCGCGCTGTTCCTTCCCTCTCTGGCTTTGTTCTTTGACTTTTTCTACCCTATGGCCGATGGGTCGCCCGGCTATCTACGTACACCCTGGTGGAATCATCGGCAACGGGTTGGTCTTATTAAGAAGTTCGCGTCGGCGTACATTTTGCGTGCACCTCCTCCGCGGGTATACGAGCTGCATTATGTTCCGCCGACAAAGTTTCAACTCGAGGGGGGTCGGTTGGCTCGAGTCTGCGAAGCGCGGGGTAAGAGAGAGAGAGAGAGAGGCGCAGTAATGAGTCTTAATTAACAGTCCGGCCGGTGTTTCGTTCGGCCGGGGGGAGGCTTAATTTTCCCTACTCCCCCGCTGGCGCATCATCCACTTTGCTTCCCCGCAGTCTCGGGCGAACTTTCTTCCCGGGCTTTTTGCGCCGCGCCGCTTGCTTTTATTTTCGAGGGCTCGGAATATCTTGGCCTAAGTATTGGTTTTCCACGGCTATACGGTTTAACAGGTGAGTCAGTTAGTACAGAGGCTCGAGTGGAGTTTGGATATTTTACCCAATTATCGTATACGCTTGCGTACATCTTTTCTTTTTTTTTCTTTTCTTCTTCTTCTTCTTCTTTTTTTAATTGAGATTCACACGAAACTATTAGCTCGAGTGGAGGGACAAGATTTACGGAGGGAATTGAATCCGCAGAGGTGCTAAATGATCGCCTCGACACCGCCGAGCTCTCGTGGAGAATCGCAAATGAGAGACAGAGAGAGTAAAGAGCACGCTGAATAAGTAACGAGGCTTCGGCTGATTTTGCACGAAGAGTGTCTTATTTAGCCTAAGCGAAGCACTTTTTTTTCTCTGTCCGGGGGAAAGGTGAGGGAGTGGTTCTTTGTGGAGTCAATGGACGGTGCATCGAAATTGTTTTGAGGGATTGGGGAATCTCATACATTTTAATTTTTATTCATTAGGTTTGGAAAACAATCCTATAATAGTAAAAATACTAAAAAGTGAGAAAATCTTTTTTACTTTCTTCTATTTGCAACGTAGGTTTCATCAACGTATTCTTGTAGGGATGGTTTTTACACGACCCATCGAAGCAAAGATGGGTCGTATACTCTGTGGTGTCATATCGCATTGTTTTTTTATGATTGGGGATCCACTACAAAGGCTTTGATTAAAACTATTAAATTTCATACAAGAATACAAACTTTTTATAATACTTTTTTCAATGTGAATAGTCGTCCTTTAATAAAGATAACTAAATAAAAAAGGGGTGATTCTATTTTTGATCAAAGTTAAAAAGTGTTTGATACAGAGATAAAATTGAAATTCTAGGTGGCTTACAGCTTAATTGAAAACAGACAACTGATTAGACGTTAGTCACAATAATTTATTAATATTAAAGATACTCTCTCTTTCTCTATCAGACCAATTCACTGTTATTTACTCTTATTTATTATTATATAAAAACAAGAAAAACTTTAAGATTTTATCTTTTATACAGGCTCTCTTGTGATGACTCAGCTATCCAGCACCAAACGTAGAATGTTTGTTGTTCACTAGAAAAAAATTCGGTTACTTAGTACTAGGTTGAAAGTTGTTTAGGATTGATTACAAAGTCAATTGTCAGATAGAGTTTTATTAAAATATCTTACATTAAAATACATTAACGTAAATGAAGATTATTGAATAATCAAAAATACTAACATAAAGATTTCGATGAAAGGAAAGTTTCTAGACATGATTTTTCAAATTTTTATTACTAACACTAACACTAAAATGTTTACAGGAGTTACTTCCTTTGTGTCTTCCACATAGTTACAGACAACATATGTCTGCGTTTTGTCAATATTTTTTAATTGATTTTATAAACGTATATCTTTTAAGATATCAGTCTCTTCAGGATTACCGAAGTTTACTTACAGTCGTTTTTCATTTCTCTTCGTTTAATCAGCAAACTTTTTTTTTTCAATCATCACAAAAATACGGTTTTCAGCAAGTTTTTTGAACGTTTTATTTTTCAGTCTCATCCAAAATTTTGTGGGAGTTTTAAAGGGAAACTTAATGTTTTCTGAGAAGTTTTTTTTTAAAATGAAGTTGTAAAATAAATTGTGAATGTCTCTGAATAAAGTTACTGATACATTGTGGCAAGTCCAGGCAGACGCTAGTTGTTCACATCACAACATTAGTCATTAAAATAATAAAAATAGTTGATACTTATTACATTTTGACTTTAATTTTTAAACTTTGATGATTTTCATCGTTAAAAATTTCGAATTTAATACAATAAAGAAAAATGCTTCTAAATATGGTTTGAATCTACAACTCGATTACCTATGTAGGAATGGAACATGAAACAAATCAGGTATGTGTAGAAATAAAATATTTATGAATTTTTTTTTATATACACATATGTAAACGAAACAAGCATGTTAATTTTCTCTTTTCAGTGATAGTTTTAAAGTTTTATAAACACATGTTTACATTTTACACAAATAAGAAAGCTTTAATATTACAACTGTAAAATTTCTGGTTTATCGTACTTACTAGTAGTACGTTTCTGTTGTTACTGTTAATGAAAAATTTACTGTTGCTTCTTTAAATTACATGAATTATATTTGAAATATGTCAGACAATTGTCGATTAAATAATTGTTGCAGTACACATACTACTTTTTTCATTAAACATTTTTATTTCTATTGGCATACTGAACTATGTTTTGGCTTCTCATAATTTTTGTATTTTTTAAAATAAATATCTCACTTGAGGAGAATTTTCATTAATATTGAACGTTTCTCAACATCTATGATGGACTCCGGAAAAATGGTGCTCTAAACCGGAGATTTGCAATGGATTTCCGCTTAAAAGCGACACGGAATATAAAGTACTGGTAAAAAATATTTACAGCAAAAAGTATTATAAATCTTGCAGAATACCACAATATGTTTGGCTCAACTCAATAAGCATAAGTACTGTCTCTTGCTACAATGGTATTTTTAGTTCTCGTCAGATGTATCTATTAATAGATGTTCGGTGTTAAATATAAATACGCACTATACGTATAGCAAGACAAACGCCAGTACTTGTAAATGTACTTCAAGAGCCAATTTATGATGAGCGAAATTATCTAGTAGTGGAAAAGTATTGGCGTGCAAAAAAATTTACGTCTCGGGTGAGATGCAAGAGAAAAACACTCTACTTCCGTACGGACGAGAAAAGCTGTGCGGCTAAAGGTAGAAGAAAAACACGAAAGGCCAAAGCTAATTAAAGACCAACGGGCTGAAGAAGCCCGGAATGAAGAAGAAAAAAAAAGACCGACTAAAGATGTTGGATGAAAAAAAAAAAAAAAAAAAAAAAGAGAGAGATATGGTTGGNTGAAAATTTTTAATGTGTTTTTTCTAGATTGTAAAAATGTACCAGTCATTATGAAACTGATTTTGAAATAATAATTTTACAATTTTTTTTGTAGATTTATAACATAATTTTAAGCGAGTAATGGAAAAAATATTTTGAGTCATTTAAATTAGATTTGCGTGACACACACCGGCTTTGTACCTTCTTGTAAATATACTCGCTTCGCCCCGATGAACGCGATTTTTCGCTACAACTGTACAAAATGAAGAAGAAAAAAAAAGACCGACTAAAGATGTTGGATGAAAAAAAAAAAAAAAAAAAAAAAAAGTGGGAAAAGCGAGCGATACGAAAGTTTCGTTGGAGAAAATACGGGGAAGGAATTTGGGTTAAAGAGAGCAGTGTTTCAGCTATTTTCGAGTATACCGTGGTGTATCTCGAGTACTCGGAGACTATACGAATATTTAGAAAAAATTCCTTTTTTGATGTATTAAAAAAATTCCATCTCGTCCGATAAAACCTTTCATTACGCATCTCGTGATCTCAAGGAGAAAAGGTAAACGCACCAAGTCCGTTTCGTCCCGAGCTGCGATTTTCCGAGTCACGGACGTGTCCAAAGTAAATGTTAAAAGCCAGTGAAGCCCGTATGACACAA